AATCTATTCTAGTATAGGCCCTCTAAAATCCACCTTATGTCCACTCCTTTGCTACAATTTCTTGCTACAACTTAAAAACATTTTATATCTCTCCAATGAATCATGAATCATGCTTACTTTTCTTCCAAAATAAATGCACATTATAAAACCTGAGCAATAAATATGCATGTCTTGAATATGCATAATAAGTTAAACAAAAAATGCTATATTAAAAATTCCATTTAGTCCAATCTGTTTGAAATTTTAAAAAAAATCTGAGCAAAGCAATAATTCATTGTAAAAGAAAAAATGCGAAACATTTACTAAATTTTAAAAAGGAAAAAAGAAAATGAAATTAAAAAGTTTCAGATTCTAAGAATCACGATAAAAAATATTACTATTCAAAGAACTAAACTAGATTACTAATCCAATTTCAAGAAACACTTTGATTCTTAAGTAATATAACCTTTAATGACAGCACAAAATTGTATTTATAATGAATTATCCTTACACTATATTAAATTAGCTTGAATGTCCCCTTTTAGAAACCATCAGACACACAAAAATGTCTGCAAGAGCAGGAGCTAAAGTATCCCATCCTTAGGTAAAACTCTATTTTTGAAAGCTTTGCCCAACAACCCCAACTTAATACAAAACTTATTGCCTTGCATCTTTAACATTGTTAATGTTTTGGGCCGTCCCGGTAGCGCACTGCTACAGTGCGCTGCTTGGGAGCGTGGCGACGCTCCCGCCGAGGGTTCAGATCCCACATACAGACCAGTTCCCGCTCACTGGCTGAGCGAGGTGTGGGGGCAACGCCGAGGGTTGCGATCCCGTTGCCGGTCCCGGTCCGGTACGGGCGCGACACTGAGGGTTGCGATCCGTTGCCGGACACGGAAAAAGACAAAAAAGGAAAAAAAAAAAAAAAACATTGTTAATGTTTTGCTTACTTTATAGTTCCTACAATATATTCGGTATTATTTAACTACCTTAAAATATGTTCCTGAAATGTAATAAATAAAATGCTATATTTGTAAAGTGAATCCACTTTTTTCATTTACTTTCTCTATAATTTTAAACTTTCAAAGATGTCTTTCCCTCATAGATGATAACTGAAAGGACTGATGCGACTATTCAATCTGATGCAATAGTTATGGATGTGTGTTATACTTTCTGGTAGCCAGATAAGGAATAGAGAAATGGCTAAGTGTGTGAGGTATTCCAGAGGTCCATATAATGGGGCATTGTTCTTTTTAGAATATAAATTTATTAATTGAATGCACAGGAGAAAAAAAAAGTTCATAAGGTAATTTATCTTCTGCCAGTATTAATTTTTTTTTCTTATAATGCTAAAAGCAAACTCCATGGAAATAAATGCACCCAATATATTTTGGAATCTGGGATATAAATAAAAATGCATACTGCAGGATATCTCTGACATGTTACAGAAATATTATCTAATACTCCATAGTTATTTTAATAGTAAATTAACTCATGTAAAGAAAAGGCTCTGAGGGCCGGCCCGGTGGCGCACTGGATAGTGCGCCGCTTGGGAAGCGCGGCGGCGCTCCCGTCCGAGGGTTCGGATCCCACGTACAGACCGGCTCCCGCTCACTGGCTGAGCGAGGCGCGGGAGCAACGCCGAGGCTTGCGATCCCGTCGCCGGTCCCCGATCCGGTACGGGGGCAACACTGAGGGTTGCGATCCGTTGCCGGACACGGAAAAAAAAAAAAGACAAAAAGACAAAAAAAAAAAAAAAAAAAAAAAGGCTCTGAAAATGTTTTCTAATACTAAAGCCACATAGTCTGCCCCAGGAAAATTATGCTCCTAGTTATAGTAGTTACCAGGATTTACCAGAGGAACAATGGCAAAAAAGGAGGGTGAAGAGGGTAGAAGATGAAAGATGTTCTTCATAATTCACTATTTTAGCTAATATCCCTGCATCCAGGTTTATGAATTATTTGTAAAGAATCTATTTACTTTTAAAAACAGAATAGAATTTTGACTAGTGATAACAGAGTGCAAAGAAACAAAGATCCAACAAAATTTTGATATATAATTCCGTTCACATTACTTATGAAAAAAGATACCAACACTATATCGCTTTCTCACACTTGTTAAATTTAACCAAGTACTATAAATGAATGTCAAATAGCATTGTTTCTCACCTACTATAGACAGTGTGAAAGCCACTGTCTTCACACACAACTTTCCAACATATCCCTAAAACCTTCATCCTTCGTACTGGGCCTTTATGATGTATAGGTGTGTTCTGCTTCTGTATCCTTGTTCTTGACTGAATGAACATATCCACTTATCAAAGTCCAACTTATGCTCTACATTCTCTATAAAACTTAAAAACAAATACCTGAACTGAGTAATTTCTGTTTTTTGTATTTTCTTAATTAATAAGCAAAACAAATGTAAATTATTTGCAAGCCAAAAGATCCTTCTAAAGTGTTAAGGATAAGGCACATTTTCTGAGTACGTACTATACAGGTGGAGGCACTGTGTCATTTAATCCACATTTTAAGCCTTATAAAGTTGGAACTAATATTCTAATTTTATAGATAAGGAAATTAAGTGTCAAAGAGGTTAATTTTCCCAAAGGCACACAATTAGCAAGAAGTACAATCCTAGATTCAAACCCAAGGCCATATGGTTCCAAGCCTGTGAAAAAGAGTACATTCAACAAAATGCTATTCTAGTCCAGTGCACTTGTATTGACAACAAAAGTTAAAGTGCCTCTCAAAATACCTAAATTATATTTACTATCTCAAAGGAAATTCTCTCTTAGGCATTTAATCAACAGTATTACTGATTGACTCTATAAAATGCTATTAATGAAAATTCATTGTAAGAGTTCTAGAGTATTCTTACCTCCTAAATAATACATAAAAATTACAATGCCTTCACCTGCATTTTATTATCAAAATCACTTAGAATATTAGGGTAAAACAGAAATTAAGGAGCCATTGTTTAATAATGTGATAGACTACATATATGGATAATATTGTACTGTTTGAATTTTGATTCCTCAGGTTAATGACTGTTTACACAGATAATACAAAAATAATATTAAAAATGGTTTTATAATTCTATACAATTAAATTCTATTTTACTTATTTCAAAAAAGGATTTAAGACAGCTCACGATTAAGAGTAATAATGATCTGGCCCTCTAAAAGAGTCATAAAACCACATGGATCAATTTTCCCCAATACTTCTAGAGATAATCATTTGAACATTTTTGCTAAACTAAAAGATTCATAAAGTTATAAAAGAAAATACAAAAATATATAATGCCATTTTTTAGACATAAATTGGGATAGATGCATACTGAAGGATATCTCAGACATGTTAATTAACTAATATGACTATATTAACTAATACCAAGGGATTAATCACCTTGGCTTTAATAGCAAAATTTTGTTGACATTAAACCTAGGGCCACTTGCCTTAAAATACTGACAAAATATTCTTCATATGATAACAACCATTTTTTGTTTGTGAGTATAATTCTAGAGGTTAATTTTATTCTATTGTTTTCTGCAAGATTTAGAGCATATTTTCTTGTCTTTAGAGAAAATATAAGTCCATTTTCATTAAAAGAAAACTTTACAACAACTTGAAGTTCAGTCATTTCAGAATTTTTCTCTTTCGTCATTTCCATTAACAAACCTTCAATAAACAAGGAGTTTATGATTTGCTATATAAATAGTTTTCAGAAATGATCAAGCTCATTAAAATTCAATAAGGTAACTAAAAAACCTACTCACCTACCCTAATATGATTCCTTCCAACTCCTAATCGTGCCAGCATAGTTATACTTTCATTATTATTGTACTTGAAAAGCATCACTTTGTACTGGTAGCATGTCTATAATTTTCCCTAAAGACACAGATCACTATGAAAAAGTTAAGCAAATTAAAAAGAAATAAAATACTACATCAATTTCATTTGACACTTACACTGATATTAATTTAATAACTTCCTAATTTCTTTTTAGATCTTAGACACAAAAGCCAGAATTTTCTTGACACTACTGAAGACTAAGATATCCCTATCTCTTCTTTTGGAGAAGTTACTAAAACACCGAAATTATAAATATCAATTGAGTATAGCTCTAGATTTAGACAAAACAATTAAATTTATAAATATTGATAGTAATTTCTCATATCAGTTGACTTAAAAGCTCCCAAGTGTTCTTTCTAAAATTGGTTGAGGATGCATACAAAGGGACTTCTGAGTTCCCTCATTATTTTATCATATTCTCTGAATATAAGTTCAGCTTTCCATCCTAATCTTATCTGAAACTCATTTGATAGTTACAGAACAATATAATAGCCTTCATTTCATATTTAACCAAAGCATAAATTAGAGAGTTAATCAATTTGCTTAACTTAAAAAAACTAGTAATAATTAATGTAAGAATTGTAATATACCAAGTTATTTCCAAGTTTGTCACACTTAATATGCAAATTCAAAGAATTCTTACAAATACAGCAATCAACAAGCATGATTCTTTAAGATGCTTAAAAGTTTTACTGAAAGCCATGAGGAAAAACCTCTTCATGAATCATAAAATGTTTCCTAAACAAACCAGATTCTGCCTCTGTATATGAAAAGTCACACTGATTTCTCTGATTAATGTAGAGACTTTAAAATCTATTGTCTCATGAAGGTATTTTAATAGATGGTTATGACAAGGTAAAAATAATAAAACATTTTCAATGATTATCATTATTAACTCATGCAAATTTACTAACATATCTGGTTTGATTTAACAAAGGATCAAAATTGCAAGAGCAAGGTGATTTCGTTTTTTTCTTACCAAAGAAAACATTGTTTGCATTTTTTTTTTAAAACAATGTGGCCATCATAAGAAAGAATGTGAACATTGTAAACGAAAAAACATGGTTTTAGAAACTGAGATAAAGGAATAGATGAAAACATTTTATGGTAACTCCTTTCTGAAGGCAGTGATTATAATAAAGTCTAATAGTTTTAAATCACATTTACCTGTCTCTATCTGGAGAATAATCATCCACAACACGATGTCTATCCATTCGGCTAATTGTATTATAATGTCCAGTAGTAGAGCGTGTCCCTCGAAGTCCCTGTTCCACATTCCGACTAAAATAGCAAGATCCTTTAAATATCTTAGCAAGATATAATCATATACTACACTAAGAAATAACGCTTATTAATAGAGATATTAGAAAAAGACAAAGTCACTATAATGTCGAGTCCAAATTTTTTGTTTTATTTTAACTAACTGTATCCCTGGTTAAAAGTATATATTTCAGTTTGAGGTTGAAGAGGTTGTGAAAATTACTGCTATAACAGACACAACATAAAAAGAGCTCAACTTAGGGTAAAATCAATTGGGATAAGATAAAGAACATCAAAACTATTGGTGGATGACTCCTTGGTCTCTAGTGGTGATACTCAATGGTATATGTTATACAGGAAGAGAAGAAGTAGATTTGTGTGGAGAAAATGAGGTCAGTATTATGTTTGCATGGTTTATAAGAATGGAGACAGAGATGCTTCATAGGTGGTTGGACATGAGTTCAGCACTCAGAACAACTCAAAATCTGTCCAATTCTCACCATCTCTCTTGGTACCACCCTAGTTCATATTACCATCTTCATGAATAAACTATAACAATAGTCTCTTCTTTCAACACTTACCCCCTCCTCTAAACACAAAGTAGCCTTTTAAAACATAATTAAGATCACGGCATGTTATATTATATAGGATAAAATGTAGGAATCCAGTTTTCAGTTTTATTCCAAATAACAGACTAATTTTTCTACCCTTTTCAACCCACTCTTTCCATATTTGTGGTACCACCTTTATCATTATATCAAATTCACATATAAAGATAAAAGTAAACGTATATATATATATTTATATTGCACTATCTATTCTATTCAATATGTCTATTGTGCTGCTACTGTTCAAGCTCCATCCTGTTTTTAATAACTATGGCCTGGTGGCAAAATTTCAAAATGGATTTAATTATTTGGTACCTTTATCTTTCTACATAAATTCTAGAATGATGTCAAGTTTCTAAAAATCACACATAGAATTTTGACTGGTATTGCATTACATTTCTAGATTAATTTGTTTAGAATTGATATCTTTATAATATGAAGGGATTCTATCCATGAATAGGGTATATCTCTCATTTCTCATTCATTCCTTATCTAAAGTTTTATATTTTTCTTTAAAAAGATCTTGTAAATTGTTAGTTAGATAAAATGCTAGATACTTTGTATTTTGTGTTGCTTTTGAGAATAGTGCTTTATGTCATTATATTTTCTAATTGGTTATTTCTCTTTTTTTGTAAGTTGATATATGGCCAGCTATTTGGCAGAACTCCCATATTAGTTTTAACATTTTGATTACATCGGGTTTTCTATGTAGATAATCCTACCATCAACAAATAATAATGGTTTTTCTTTCTTCTCCACTAATCCTTTCTCCTCGTATTTCTTTTTCTTGTATTATAACATTTTTCAGGACCTGAAGCACTATGTTAAACAGTGACAGTAATCATGAACATCCATCTCCTATTTCTGATATTAATGTCAATGCCTCTAAAATTTTTCCATTAAGTATAATGCTTACTTTATAAAGTCTTTATGAAGTATAGGTGGTTCTCTTCTACTCCTAATTTACTAAGTATCTAATGCGACTAAGAGTAGAATAATAAAATTCTTTTTCTGCCTCTAATAAGATTTATTTTCCCATTAGCCCATGAATGTGATGAATTACCACAACAGATTTTCTGGTGTCTAACAATCATGCTTTCAATTCATGGTTAGATTTAGTGAGTGTAAGACTTTTATGTTTGTAGTTAAAATGGGCTCATAATATTTTCTTATACTAAAGAAATTCTAAGTTGTAAGAGTTGGAATTAAGGTTAAATCTAAGTTGTATGAATTAGAACTAAGGTTATAATAGCTCCAGAAAAAGAGTTTGCTTTCCTTTTTTTCCTGTTTCTATACCAGTTGTATAGGACAGATCTGTCTGTTCTCAGGAACTTGATTAAAGCTTACCCATAAGGACGTCTTAGTCTGAACTTCTTTTCTTTGGGTGGGGGGAAGTAGTTTCTCTTTGAGTATCATTTCAATGTATTTAACAGCTGTTGATTTATTTAACTTTTCTATTTCTTCTTGTGCCAATCTCAGTGTTTTATATTTTTTTCAGAATCTAGCTATTTCATCCACATTAATAAATTTAATAACGATTTTATAATTATTATTATTTTTAGTCTTTTTCTTATCTGTATTTGTTCCCCTTTTTCATTGTTTTATTTATTTACACCACTTATTTTTCATGTACCGTCCTTCTATTGTATCGATGTCATCAGTCTTTTCAAATAATTAGATTTTGGGTTCACATATACTCTCTCTTACCTTTCTCTTACTTTTATCTCTTACTGTGTGCGCCTCATTTTGTCCCTAATTTTTATTATTTCCTTCCTTCACATCTCTAAAGTATTTTCTCTGTTGGTCTGTATTCTGTTTCCTAAATTCAGTGCTTTTTTAACTCACCATTTGTAGTGGATTGAATTATGTCTCCCCAAAACCCACTGCAGCTTGACTTTTATATATTAAAAACTTGGTCCCCACTGTGACTATAAAGAGGGTGGGAAATCCTATTATGGTAATTGAAAGGTAGAGACTTGAAGAGGTGAATAGATTGTAGGACCATGCCACTGCAAATGGATTAAAAATGGTGATCAGGGACATGGTTCTGAGGGCTTTAAAAGAAGAGAGAAGAGAATCTGTCTCTCTTCTCTCTCTGCTTCCACCATCTTGCAATGTGAGATCCCTGGGACACTGTCGCCACCATCAGATGGACTTTGGACTTCTCAGCCTCAAAAACTGTAAGCAAAATTTTGTTTTCTTATAAATCACCCAGTTTCCAAGTATTTTGTTATAAGCAACAAAAATGGACTAATACACCATTTTGTTTTTATTATTTCTTTAATTGACAGGAAAAATCATATATACGAGGATACTTAAAAAAGTTCATGGAAAGATTAGTACTATCTTTCAATTCTATTTTTCTACTAACTTTTTGAAGTAGCCTCATATTTTTGGTATACAGCCTAATGTTTTGATATATGTATACACCATGGAATGGCTAAATCAAGCTGTTTAATATGTGCTTTATCTCACATACTTAGCGTTTTTTTAATGTGGTGAGCACACACAAACATCTACTCTCTTAGCAATTTTCAAATATATAATAAGTTTTTATTAACTCTATTTGCCATGAAGTACAATAGAGCTTTTGAACTTATTCCTCTTAACTGAAATTTTGTGAAATGACCAACATCTCCCTGATCCTCTCCTCCCACTCCCCCATAACCACCATTTTTGAGTTCAACTTTTTTAGATTCCTCATATGAGTGAGATCATGTAATATTTGCCTTTCAGTGCATGGCTTATTTCACTCAACATAATATCCTCCAGGTTCATCCATGTTGTCACAGATAACAGGGTTTTCTTCTTTTTAAATCTTGAATATTGTTCTACTCTGTGAATATACCACATTTTCTTTATTCATTCATTTGCTGGTGGAGACTTAGGTTGATTCCATATCTTTGCTATCGTGAATAATGCTTCAATGAACACAGGAGTGCAGATATAGCTTTAACATACTGATTTTATATCATTTGAGTATATATCCAGTAGTGGGATTGCTGGATCAAATGGTTCTATTTTTATTTTTTGAGGAACTTCCATACTGTTTTCCATAATGGCTGTACTAGTTTACATTGCCACCAACAGTGTACAAGGGTTCCCTTTCTCCACATCCTCATGCTCTTTTTATCTTTTGTCTTTTTGTCAGGTGTGAGGTGATGTCTCATTTCACCGTTTGCAATCTTTCTTGTTTTCTTGGTAAATACCTTTTAAGGTTAAGATTTCCTAAATATTGCTTAATTGTGTCTCAAAAATGATTATAGTATTTTCATTGTCATTCATTTCTAATATTTCATAATTTTCCTAATTATCTCATCCATAATCAAAAGTTACTTAGTAATATCTTAGATAAGTTCCAGGAATTTCAAAAACTATCCTTCTTATTCTTTTATAAGCTTATTGAATAATATTCGGAGTAAACGGTTTATCTGGGACTGACTAAGATTTTCTTTTTGACCAATATTTTTTTACCAATTTTTTTTTAGTTAAAAAACAATTTGTATTTTTTACTTGGAATCTCAGACAGAGATATATACAAAGATACAGAGGCAAAATATTGAAGATTTGAGTCACAAAATAAATCTGAACTAATATATACATTATTCAACTGTTCTAGGTCATTACTAATTTTTTTTTTTTTTCGTCTGATTGGTCTACTGACTTCTGTTAGGGATGTGTTAAAACCTCTAACTACAATTGTTCATTTATTTCTCTCTATAACTCTGTCAATCATCACTTATATTTTGAACACATCTGGGCGTGATCATTATGCTCCAGTCTTTTCATTAGCCTTCACAGTGCCTTAGGGCAAACATGAAAAAGTAGTGGTTCTGTACAGAACTGGCCTTATGAGCATACTAGTTGAGCAAAGTGCAGGCTGAACTTTGGCCCTTTTTTGGCTCCTTGTACAGGTTTGTGCAAAGCAGGCTATATAACTCAAAGTGGTGGTACTGGTTATAACTTAGATTTGATATTCATTTTTTTTCCTGGAATATATCTTTCTTTGTCCTTTATGACATTTTTGATACTGAATTCAATTTGTTTTTTCTGATTGGTTTTGGGACACCAATTTTCTTTTGGTTTATATATACCCATTAAATTTTTTTCATGCCTTTGTTTTCATACTTTCTATGTTCTTTTATTTCTTACAAACCATATATTAGTAGATCATGTTTTAGGAACGATAATTGTTATTTGTATTTTAAAATCTTACTGAAGCTTTTATAATAGACAAAGGATTGTTTTTTTAAACTACCATTCTTGCCCTGGATTGCCTACTAACACACACCTCTTTTTCATGACAGAATAAACCTTTTAGTTTAATCTCCTGTTATAATGGGATTTCTATAACATGAAGCCGAATCTAATCTAAGATATAGCCTATGTTCCACCGAACTGCTCAAATTTCTTTCCTTGGCAAAAGTAAAGCTATGCTATAATATGAAATATATTTGGTCTTTGTCCCTGGTTCCTTTCATAGAGTTCCTAAAACCGTTGGAATTTTCTGGGTTATATAAGTGTCTTTTGTTACTCATAATGAGCTCCTTTGATAACTCTGGAATTTATTCTAATAAAGTTACTTAGGCTGGGGCCCCTAGAGAGCCTCAGGATAGGACCAGTCACCAGAAAAACCAAATGATTCTGGGATTAGAGGGTTAGAACTTTCAACCTCACCCACAGACCTCTTGGAAGGAGCCGGCGGGTAGGAGGGTGACTGGAGATAAAGCTGTATAAAAACTCTTGAACAACAAGATTTCATGAGTTTACAGGCTGCTGAACACATGGAGGCACCCACCCAGAAAGACATAGAAGCTCCTCATTCAGCCTGTATAGCTTGACCTATCTATCTCTTCATCCAGCTCTTCATCTGTATCCTTTATAATATCCTTTATAATAAACTGGAAAATGTTAAATAAAGGGTTCCTATGAATTCTGTGAGCTGTCCTGGCAAATTATAAAATCAAAGGAGGGGGCTGTGGGAACTCCAATTTATAGCTAGTCAGTGAAGAGACAGGTCACAACGTGAAACTTGCAACTGGTGTCTCAAGTCAGGAGCAGTCTTATAGGACTGAGCCCCTAACCTGTGAGATCTGACACTATCTCCAAGTGGATAGTGTCAGAACTGAACTGGAAAAAAAAAAAAAAAAAAAAAAAAAGAACCGAATTGAATTGTAGGACACCCAGCTGATATTTGCCAGAGAAATGCTTGGTGCAAGGAAAATCCCCACACGTCTGGTCACAGAAGTGTTCTGCGTTGAGTGTAGGAAGAAAAAAATGGTGTGTTTTTTCCTCTTACACAGCATTCTTTCTCTCTCTCTCTCTTCTTTTTTTTCCTCTAATGGGTAAGGGCTTTATTAAAGTTACGAATTCACAACCAGTTCTCTCAAACCTTAAATTGCGGATTATATATTTTATTATTCTATTGATAAGTCTCCCACATTTAAGCAATTACTTTTCTGAAAATTTTTAGTAATTTTGGTCTCATTTACAAACTTAGTTAATTCAACATCTTCAAGCATTTTAAATTATATTTATAAACTTAATATATTGGATTTTCTTTTTAATTTCTGCCATTATCTAAAATGCTTCATATCCTTATAAATTAAGTTAAATTTATAAGTATAATAAATCTAAAGTTCTCTTAGATAGCCCAATGTTCTGTATAAAATTAAGATTCAATAAAAAATTCTAAGTCAAATTAATACTAACTCAGCTATTTATTTAAAATAGCAATTATAAGGCTGTCACTCTAACAGGTCAAATTTTCTTAAACATTGAAAGCATATAAAAGGTGAACTATGCATATATTTCTTGTTAGCCTGAACTATTATTTTCTCGGTCCTTAAGCCTACTTGTACTTAGCTAGATTGATCAGAAATTTCCATTAGGCAGAAGACCTGGAGCTGAAGATTTTCAGAGCCATTCTTTTCACTGCACATGCATTCTTTTATATTCTTCTGATGATTGTTCCTAATTTTAAAGACCAGAGGTTTATTTTTTCCTATTTCTTAAATTGCCAATATCTATATTATTCATGAATATAATTAGTTGGTTCTAACTAGATCTGTTCAGTACTGATATATGATTGAAAGCTGGTTCTTCTTAATTATTTAGAACTCTTACAGTGAAATAATACATAGGTCATCCAAAGTTACAAAATAACCCATATTTCATTTTATTTTCATTATATAGGTTATTGAATAGTATCCTGTTTTTCCTTAAATAACTTTTTTCCACAAGAATTTATTATCTTTAGAGGTTATCAATAATACTTTATGATAAATAGGCCTGTAGTCCCATTCTACAAATAATATGTGTATGCTATCTTACCTTTGTGGAGGAGGGACACTGGGTGACCATGATCTAGTCCTTCCTATAACATCTACTCGATGGGGAGACCCTGATGGTGAGCAATGGTTTGATGACATTACTTGTTCTGGCACTGATAATGTTGAGCTTTGAAGATCTCGACCATTGTGTCGATAATCTAAAGGTGGAAAGATTAATAAATATTAAAGTTATCTATACACTAAGCCCTGTGTGTATGTTGTACTTTACTCAGTAACATAAAATGTTGGTGAAGCTGAAAGACTTTGAGTATATTAAATGTAAAGTATAACAAATAAAGCACATTATTAAGACAAAATGATATTTTGTAAACACATAAATTAAAAAGGAATGACAAATATTCAAATATTCAGGTAACTACTATGTCCAAGATGCTATCCTAGGTAGAGTAAAACTTTCATATATGCTTACAAATAAAGTAAATCTTCTATAAACGCTTTAAATATAGAGTAAAACTTTCATATACAGTTAATTATCTTCAATAAAAGACAAGTTTATTCTAAAAATTACTTTCATCTCTTTAATGACTGAGAGGTACTTCAAATACTTCTCAACAACTATTAATATTTAAAATTATGTTCACGAAAAGTTTTTAAAAGTCTATAGTTTTTTCTTTAAAAGATAAACATTAGAAACCACTCTGAATTACACTTGAGGTAGACATGTAAACTGCTTTTCTTATAGCATTTGGCAGGGCTGAGAAACAGTAGATGCCTAAGAATAAAAAATCAGAGGAGGAAAATAGTCCAGTGATTTGACACATTTAGACAAAGTGTATTAGAAGAGATAAAACTCAGTTGATATTTATTTGGACAGATGGGGAAGAAAGCAGAAGGAATTCCAAGTTGGCAGAAAAACAGTAGTTCAGTGTGGGGCAGCAGTGGGAAAATAAAGCAGGAAAGGTAACTTTCACCCAAGTTATATATGTGTAAAAACATCATGAGGTTTGTAATGGAAAGAGCCTGAAAATTTCTGAGCAGGAAGTGATATTACCACTATCACCATCTACATAATGCTCATTATGGCTATTAGTAATTGACATTTTACTATGTTCTAGGAACTCTGCTAGGTAGGCACTTTACAAAGTATTCTGCTACAACATTTGTTTCAGAAATAACTCAAAAATGATTGGTTCATATGTGATTTTCTCCAGTATGTTAATGTATTACAGTATTAGGTTAGATTTCTTAGAAACAAAAGACAAAGATTCAGATGCACATAATTGAATAAGTGTTCTCAGGAAAAAGAAGAGCAGAATAGGGCAAAGGAAGAAACTACATAAGGATGTAGTCTCAGCCTAATCCCACTGGAGGCTCTGGAAAATGAACTGAACCAGAGTTGACCTGACTTTGAGGCAAGGGGGCTGGACTTTTGTACACCTGTGTTAGCCAATCACTGGTTGCAGACTGCCAGTGGAAGGTAGGTGAGGTGTTTAACCTCCTGGGTGAGGTGATTTCCATTTGTCTAAGAGCAATTCTCCAGCAAGGTGGATAGCAATGAGTTGATAGCAATCAACACTCACAGGAGCTGGGCGTGGGTAAACCAGCTGGTAAAGGGAATATGGGTGGGACACCAACAGTGTCTACTACAACTACCAAATATTAGCAGCTGAATGCAAAGTACACTAACACAGCTGGATGCAGCAAACAGGAGAAATACAGAACTGTATATGATGCTCATCCATCCCATATTCTTCCTCTTGGCTCACTCTGGTCACAAACTGTCTTCAAAGTCCATATTGTATGGATCCTTCTTGGTTTCTGTGGTTAGTTTCCTTGATGCCATAGTTTTGCAGACTTATTCTTTCCATCTAGATAAACTCCTTCCATCCAGGCACCTTCACTTTATTTTAGATTCCTACATTTAATTTTTTTATTGGTTAAAATTTAATATGACATTTTTATTGTGCTGGTATTTTTATTTTTAGTATTCTGTTTTCAAAGCTGCATGGGTTTTGAATGGTCTTTCCTAACCTTGTTTTCCCAGAAGATCCATTGTTCTTAGGCCATGATTTTGCAGAACACAAGTTTTTGGTTTGTTTGTTTGTTTTTCAGGAATACATTTACTGTGTAAGAAACACCTGTGCCAAAAAGATATTATTTCCATTTTTCATTTGAGAAAACTGATGCAATGAAATTTACATTAAGTATCAAATACCAGAGCTGGGACTTAAAACAAGATCTTTCTGACTCCAATGCCCTTACTGTGTTCTGATACTATATTCTGCTCTCATGATCTAAGAAATTAGGAAGATGAAGCTGATAGCAATATACAATTCAAACTGAAGGTTAGAGAGATTGAGGCTTGAAGATTAATTGCTCTTATAAAACTCAGAACAATACTGTCTAATAGAACTCTGAAATGATGGAATTTTCTCTATTGGTGCTATCCAATACTGTAGCCACTAGACACACATGGCTACTGAACACTTGAAATCTAGCTAGTGTTAATGAGAATGTGAATTTTGAACATATTCATTTTAAATCAATTCAAATTCAAATAGCCACATATAGAGTGTCACATCTCTATGATATAACAATTGGTGGTGGTAAGAAACTACACAGAAAGAATCAATACATTCAGCAAATATTTATGCATGTATGTATATGCCAGTTGTTATTCCACGTGCTGCGGTGAGTAAAACAAACAAAAATCCTTGCCCATGTGGAGCTTAAATTCTACTTGAGAAGTAACAGCAACAATAAACGGAAAGCCCATTAAATAATTATATGACACATATGAAGGTGATTAAGTACTGTAGGCAAAAATATAACAGGATAAGGGGAGATCAAATTGCCAGAATAGGAGGGCATTTTGCAATTTTATATAGGGTGGTCAGGGTAGATAAGATGCATTGAGAAGGTGACATTTCAGAAAGACTTGAGGGAAGTGAAGTGTTTTGCCAAGTGGATAACAGGGGAAGGCTCCAAACAAGGGCAAAGTCCCAGCGTAGGAGTGGGTCTCACATGTTGCCAGAACAGCAAGGAGGACAGGGTACTGGAAGTGCAGCGAGTGATGAAAGGAAGACCTTAAAGGGATTTGGCAGAATGGGGAAGGTCATGTAGGACTTTGTACATTAGTGTAAAGATTTTTGGCAATTAATATGAGTGATTTTAAACTATTAGAGGATTTTCAGCAGAAACTATACACGATCTAACTTTTGTTTAAAGTTAGACAAGGCAAAAAGTCATAGAAGAGATGACAATGTCTTGAATGAAAATGACAGCAATGAAGATGACAGGAAGTGATCAGATGCTGGATGTATTTTGAAGGTAGAGTCAACAGGACGATTTTGTGAAAAAATTGATGTTGTACATAAGAGAAAGAGAAGGGTTGAAAACAAATCTACAATTTTGATGTAAGTAAGTAAAAGAGCAGAGATGCCATCAAGTGACATAGTATGGTGGGAAAGATCAGGAGTTCAGCTTTGAACATGTTAAGCTGGAGATAACCACTACATTTCCAAGTGGAGACATCAAATGGGCAGTATAATATAAAAATTTATGTGCAAATACATAGTCCTGACTGGAGATATACATGTGAGAGTTTTAGTATAAAGATGTTATTTAAAGGCTTTATATGAGATCTCTAGGGGGATGAGTATAAATAGAGAAAAGGCATAAGGAGTCCAGGGCACTCTAACATGAATCTCGAACATTTTGTGACTAAATACAGAAGCAAAACAGATCAAGTAATAAATGAATCTTAACTTTTGCATTTAGCCCACCAGGAAGTTAAGAGTAGACTATTACGAGTAAGAGAAGTTTAGTGAGATTGACCAGTTTGGAGAGGGGGAGATCAGAGTAGTTTCAGCCACATGCATGAAGAATTAGATGTACAGAATAGAATCTGGGAAAGGTGTTAGGACTGTTGATAAAGATTTTAGTCACTTACGAAAAGATCATCATTGAAATCCAAGAAAAAATTACTGTGAACCCTGAAAGAGCCAATCCTTTCAGATTGATCCTAGGTGGCTAACTGGGTCTACGTTCTTAATGCAGCTGAGCAGCTATTTGCTGATTGGGGGTTATACATATACCCTGTGTCCTCAGCAAAACCACACACTAAACAATAGTTGAACTTCGGGGCTTTCATAGCTCTCCATTCCAGTTTACGCCACCAAAATCAATTGCTGCTGGAGAGCCCTATTTCACCACCCGGACCTAACCAATGAACCGTCAGGTCCTGCAATCAATTTTAATGACAACTCATCGGGAATGAACAAGCTTGCATCCTTCATTTACATAGTGGACTGGAGAGGGAACCTGGGCAAAAACTTTTTCCATATAAGACAGCCCTTCTTTTTGTTCTAGCAGAGCACACTTTTGTTCTGTACCGAAAGCTGTGTTTCCCCGTGTCTGCTTGATTGCAAATGGCTGGCTGAAATAGTATCCCTTTATCTTTTCAGTGAATTTTGTTAACATTACATATGTAGAAAAAAAAAGATTTGACCACCGAGTTTGAGGGATATTATTAAGAAAAGGAGGAAGAGTTACTACAAGAAGAGAACTCAAATGATGCAGTCCCATGGAGATTAAAAAGAAATATACAGTTTTAAGAAAATATTGGCTATTAATAATGTAAAGTGCTCCTGAGAATTGATTAAAAATGAGCACTGGAGATAGAAATTAGAAGAGTATAATTGACTTTTAAGAACTAATTATCAATGCAGCTCTCCAAAATTGAGATATAATTAAATATTCTACTTTCCAATGGGAAATAAATTGTTTACATTTGTTTGTGTATTGTTTCAGGTCAAGTGGAAGAAAATACTAAAATTGCATGTGCCAGGCTTGATATTTTTATATATATAATGGTTTATAACCATCCCCATTCCTATTGCTCAGTATCCTATGGTGCACAAAATCCATGCCTGAAATCGCTTACCTGAGAAATCTAAATTTCCATATCAATCAGTTTCAACTTACTTTGAAGAATAGTAACAATGCAAATGTCAAAATTACCTCTGACTTGAGTTAATGAGAATAAGCAAAATAAGGAACACAGGGAGAGGCTTCCAGTTTCCCTTTTTGCATGTAAGAAAATCAAAAGTCACCACTCTATCCTAACAACAAGCAAAAAGCTGGACAGACTGGAAAATCAATATTTCTTCTAGGATGCGAAAATGACAGAAGGTCA